AAAAAAAAAAGAAATCTTTTTTTTTTTTTTCATAATTGCTAACTTCAATCCTATCTTGCATATCTGAGGTTCTGTCCTTACCTTAGCTCATTCTGATGCATACACATTCAATGGAATTTTTATCTCCAGGGTATGTGAATCTGTTTCATGGATTCCATTTCTTTTCTATGTTCGGAATTTACGATTTCAATAATTTTCCTAAGTATCTCTATTTTTAAAATCTGTATCTGGTCTAGAGTCACTAAGCATGTTTCATTATGGTCACTGTCTCAAAATTATTTCTGATTTGATTTTTTTAAGATCTTTGCTCATATGCTTTGTTACTTCTGCTATTACGACTTCAGAGAGTCCAGGAAGGTGGCTTTCTGATTGTTCCACCTCTTGTTCCCAGGTTTGCCTTTTGTGAGGTGAATGTCTAGGGTTACTTCTTGTTTAAATGTCTTCTCATTTACTGTTTTTTTTTGGTTTGTTTTTTTACTTTAATTCCTGGATGAATGCCTATAAACTGCATATGGTGAATGGCTTTATTGCTTATATTTGGAACCCTTAGGAAATGACTACTTCTCAGAGGTATGTTCCAGCTGGCTTTGGATTTTGAACCTGGTGCAAGATCCTACCTCTTCAACTTATTTTTTTGTTTTGTTTTGTCTTTTGTCTTTTTTGAGATAAGGTCTGGCTATGCAGTTCAGGTTGGCCTTGAGCTCACTTTGTAGCCCAGACTGGTCTTGAACTCACAACAATTTCCTGCCTCAACCTCCAGAGTGCTGGGATTCTTGAAACAATGTGCCACCATACCCGCTCTTCAATTTATTGGGATGAGAAGTTGCTGGCTACTTGGCCCAGCCCTTAGTTCTTTGGCACTGGCCTATAGTATTTTTTATGACTGTTAGGCAATTTCAGTCCTGGTATATCAGGAAGAGCACCTGGCTAGAACAATTATGCTACTTTGGGTAAAGTGGTACAATCAACAATAACAGTAGCATCAAACACAGCTTAGAAAATGACAAACTGAAGTAATCATTAATTTGCCACCTTTAACCATATGAACTAGTTCTGTGGTTATATAACAAAATCTAAAAGGAACCTGAAAATTGTTTGTAGTAACTAAGCCCTCAATATGACAATTTTACCTTCAAGGGAGAAAATTTAAAAGGGGTTAGGAAGAAAAAACACAGAAATACAAGAACAGGAAGAGATTAGAAGAAAAGCTGGGGGACAAAGGAAGATCACACAAACCTTAGGAAACTGATGAAGAAGATAGGAGGAAAAAAAGAAAGAAGAAATAAAAATAAGAGCAGAATAGAACAATAACAGCAAAAAACCCTGCAAACTATGTTCACACTGATATGAAAACATGAACACATTGCTATATTCTGATTTCTGGAGACCAAATCTTGGAGAGGCTCTTTCTCTGCTGGTCATAGCTCCACCATCTTTCAGAGATAAAATATTTCTAACCTAAAATTGTTTTATTATTTACTGTGTGTGAGAGGGAAATAAAGACATCCACAAGCAAGATCTCAAAATATTCACCTCCCTCAAATCATTGTTTCAAGAAGCTGATGGAAACTGTGTCCCAAAGAAAGTGCAAATGACAAGAGGAACTCGTTAGATCTCAGGGGAGAGGATGGGCTATCCAGAGACGTACAAGTAAGCTCAAGGGCAAGAGTGAAAAGAAAAGGTCGGCCTGGCCACTTGTCTGACAGAGTGCTGAGTGGGCATGTAGACAAGGCAGATGGGAGTTACAGGTGACTCCTAGCAGAGGAACAGCACAATTTCGGGCTTAGTAATGCACTCACACAAACCAAATCACACCAACGCTGACCTACAATTTAACCAAATAATAGAAAATGTCCATATTAAGGGAGATAAACTGAAGATAAGAGGTGTTAGTACACTAAATCTTGTTCTTGTATAGCAAGAAATCAAGGAATGACAACATGCCTATGTTCATCACAGGACAATTCCCATTGGTTAAGACTTGGAGGCAACTTTAATGTCCTTCAGCTGATAAACAGATGAACATATGATACACACATGATGGAATATTACTCAGCCTTAAAAAGGAGGAAAAGCTAACACACTATAGCTTGGATGGTCCTGGAACACGTTGTGCTCGGTGAAATAAACCAGTCACAAAAGAACAAATTCCACATGATTGCATTCAGATAAGTTCCCTGCAGTCATGGGCTCAGTGGCTACAGAAGAGAAGATGATGGTGCTGCCAGCTAGGGAGAAGTATGGGGAGTCCATGCTTAATGGGGACAGAGTTTCATTTTAGGAAGATTATTGCGTTAATATTGTCCCCTAGTTATTGCAGACTGACCAGGCCCACAACCTCCCAAACGAGTGGACAGTGAAGGCTTAAATAAGAGTCAAGTGTTTTGAATTTTGGGTCTCCAGGAGGATCCAAACCCTGTACTGAAATCTGAGATTTTTCTGGGGTTTAAGACAAAGAACTTCCGCCGGGTGTGGTGGCGCACACCTGTAATCCCAGCACTCAGGAGGCTGAGGCAGGAGGATCATTGTGAGTTCGAGACCAGCCTGGGCAACAAAGTGAATTCAAGGCCAGCCTGAACTGCATAGTGAGACCCTGTCTCAAAAAGACAAAAAAAAAAAAGACAAAGAACTTCTTTAGGCAGCTAATATTTATTATGTTTATTATCAAACAAAGGAAAGGAATACTGAAAAAAATGTAGGAATCTGGGCAGGACTTGGGAATCCCTTTAAGGACTTCTCCAAGTAATACACTATGTTAATTTAGGAGAACTATGTCATCTCCAGGAAGGCCTTTACTGCAGGAGTGAGATGCCTGGAGCTACAGTCTCTATCTAACTAATTGAGGTTGAAGCCAGGTGTCCTTAGCTGTGGCCTTGTCTTTTCCTTTGGAGCACCAAGGCTTCACCCCACATTACACGCTGCCCATCTCCACACAAGGGGCCTAGGTCTTGGGTAGACTTACAAATAAACATGAAAAGCCAATTGGTTGGGCGCTGGGGATTTAGCCCAGCGGCACAGTGCCTGCCTGGCAAGCGCAAGGTCATGAGTTCGATTCCCAGTACCGGGGGGAGGGGGCAGCCAATTGGTTAATATAAATCCTGTTCAGAGCCACTTCATAGTGGTCTCCATCAGAAGATGACAAAGTTCTGGTGATGTCTGCACAGCAATGTGAATGGGCTTAATGTCCCTGAACTCTGTGTACCTAACAGTGGTTCAGAAGGCAAATTTCATGTTATGTGTGTTTTACCACAATTTAAAAAATAACAACATAAACATTAGTTGGAAATATGGAGACAAAGCTGAGAGAAGGGAGAAAAAATCTATAGAATGTTACTGGGAATAGGGTGGGGATGGAAGGGTTGGGAGCAGGGCAATGATGGTTTTTTGTTTGTTTTTTATTTTGTTCTAATGTTATACAAGATGAGATAAAAAATACAGTACATGTTTAAAGTTTTAAAAATCTATCATAGTAGCAGACACATTGTCATTAATTCCCCTCAGAATACTTGCCTTCACTTAAAACACATATCCCATTGTCCTTGTCACTTTGTGAAGCACTTCTGGAAGAATCCCCCTTCAAGAGTGTCTTTACAAGTGTGATCAAAATGATGTCAATATTGTTGCCAAGTGCCAACCAAGGGGAAGGCCAGCTCATAAAAATATTACAGTGTGTACAGTGTGTAATAAGGAAATAAAGCTCATCCACTTTACAACTTCTGGTCCTTCCCTAAATTCAAAATGACCATGAAAGAAAAACAATTTGAATCAATTCAGGACAACCAATCTATGGAGGCAACAAGGACAATATAAATAAAGACACAAAAGAGAACTTCTAGAACTGTCTCACAAAGTGGCAAGAATGAACTTGTAATACATTTTTAAAAAGATAAGCACTCCTTGTATTTTTTCAATCAAACTTCATATAAAAGAAACAGCCAGGTCTAAATGACAGGCAAGGACTTTATCCCTGTTCTTGTGTTCTCTGATGATCTGGGGCCAAGGCTATACACACTGATGATGTTTAATAAACATCCAAAGAAAGGTCCTGAACACACTGCCATGTGTGGGGGTCCATAACTCACCGGCTCCTGGACCACGGGGTAAACCAGCGCAGCTCCCGGTAGTTGGCTTCATTTGCCAGGGCCATCTTGGGCCTGATGAGCAGGATTCTCCTGAAGCAGGGAACAGGGCTGCTCACAACAAGCTCCTGAGACAGATGGGCCAGTGCCCACAGTCACCATCACCCAAGCCAGGTAATACATGCAAGAACCGGGTCCTGAGCACATCTCTTCCTCCTCTGAGCTTCAGCTGTCTGTCTGCAAAAAGAGCCTCCACAGCTCCATTCATGACTGACAGTCAACAAGGCCAGAGGGGTGAAGGCCAGCAGGTGTACCTTGCAGGCAGCTAAGGACGAGGGCTGTAAGGAATTCTCCCTCACCTAGACTAGCATTCAGGGCACAAGGACTTGTCCCCAAACCCCACCCTCTGGGTCTCTCTCCTTCTAAGGTCTGTGGGTGCCTCTGGGAGTACTGGCTGGTGTGGTGTCCTCATTGAAGACATCTCCCCAGAATGGAACGCCTCTGCCACATGGTTCCCCGGACACCACACAGGTCCCCACAGCCCCCAGCCCAGGCCCCACCTACCTGTTGAGAAAGATGACTCTGCAGTTGTAACGGACATTTCGGTGCATCACAGGCCTGCAAAAGAAAGGGAGGGACGCACATGTCTGCACTGGTTTCAACACATGCAGCAAGTGGAAGCAGCAGCTCCGGTTGTTGAATCAAACTATGTTTTAGTATGAAGCTTCCTCAGATCCTTCAAGAAAATCATAAGGCTCTTCTGCAGCTTTCTCAAGTCCAACTTAAAAATGATCCAAAATGCCTCCACTGCCAGGTGACAAAGGCTCAAAACTGGAAAAGACTTTTCTAGGTGAAGTGCAAGGGTATCAAGCCCCAGGGCTCTTCTCCCTCCACTGGATGTTCTCAGCTTTGGGTGACTGCCTGCTCCTGCCTTGCTCGCCTCTGCCACCTTGTCACCTTGCCATGTGCGTCAGCTCCTGAGCCTCACTGCTTCTCCTCTCTGCCCTGAGCACACTTGCTCATGTTATCTCTCAGGCAACCTTGCACCCACTTCTCAGCAAAGGTGGAGAGATTCAGTGGCTTGGCTGGGGCACCAGGCAGGATACCATGTCCTAATAATGCCTGGCACTTGTATGTCATGTTACCTGGCAAAGGAGTTTTGCAGGTGGAATAAAGTTCACGACTTTGAACTGAGAGCCTACTCTGGTCTGTCTCAGGCCCTTGTGTGTATGCGACAGTCTTTCTATGAGGGAAGGCTGGAGAGGGAAATGTGAAGATGGCAGTTGGGCAGAGTGAGGCAGGAGCCAGAAGGGCCTTGAGCAAGAGCCAGAGCTGTAGACTCTGCCCTACAGCCTTACAAGGGAACCAGACTTACAGCTGGCCCATCACGTACTTCTGACTCCAGAACCATCAAGAAAAACAATCTGTGCTTCTCTTGTGCTTTGTGTTTTGATCACTTGTCACCAGAGCACTGAGAAACAAACACAGTCTACCATAGTCCTAATCACCATTAATGTGAAAGACTGGATTAAAATCCCTATATATATGCTGCTTAGAAGAACACCACTGAACAAATGTCACAGCAAGGTCAACTGTCATATTGGGAGGCCTGGTTACGTAAAGCCTGGCACAGTCACACAGTAGAGGAATCTATACTCACAGAACCCACACCCCACAGAGCTTCAGGGTTGGCATGTCAAAGCAGACTGATATGCAGCCACCCCCAAGATTCACCATGAAGGAAATAAAGCTCTCTGCTGTGACAGGATGAATGCCACACTGTCATTTGTGCAAAGTGCGTGCCTAAAGTTTCCGGAACAACTTATAGAAGCTGCTCCCAGTTGCTACTGCCATGGGAGAGAAATTAGGTGGTCATGGCGCTGGGGTGGGTACAAAATCCCTTTTGAACATCATACAGGAGAAACCTGACATCCTGCATCCTTGAACTTGCCTTTTTTCTGAGCTTGCCCGTGTACATGCTCATGATGTCACTTACATCCCCACGTCACAGATGATATCCTGGGTGAGCGGAGATTCCAGAAGGGCGGCCAGGACTTGAAGTGAATGCAACAGAGTGTCTGACTCGTAATAATGATCCCAACATCCATAGCCACTGGAAAGAGGGGGAGCAGGCAGGTGAATGGGAGGGGTGGGGACCTAGGATCAAATCACGTCAAAGTAAGACATGGGTAGGCCAAGCACTAGTATTTCTTCAGTGCTTCCTGGGCACTTCTACTGCACAACAATAATCAGAAGCACTCTCCAACAAATGGTGCATCTTACAGGAAATTAAAAAACAGCAGGCCCCTATTTCCTTCTTAGTTTTTGGTTACTATGAGGAGTTCCCTTTTAAGTCAATAAATATTTGTCCTTGTATGTTTTTAACCTCTAACGTGCCCAAAGTCAAGCTGATTTATAAGAAAAGGATGCACAAGAAATAAAGCTGGATCCACAAAAAAATTATTCAGATGATAAAGATCATTCCAAATGCCTCCCCAAGAGCCACCCTGGGATTTCTTGCTATAGATGCTACGCCTGAATGGTGGTCCTCCAAAAGGCATGTCCACATCCTAACTTCAGGAACCAGTGAATTTTAGGGTAATAGTCTGCAGATGCAATTAAGTGAAGGCTCTGAAAATGAAGCTACCCTGGATCTTCCTGGGTTTCCCTAAATGACCAGTCTGTCTCCATTCCCTGTTAGCTCCCAGGCCTCTGTGTGATAATAAATGATGCTACTAGGCCAGGTTGATGGTGCTGCTACCAGTGACCTCTCACTGCTTCTGCTGGGTCACAGTTGGAAGAACAACTTATAACAATGCTGGCCAAGAAGCACCCAGGCCTCATGACGCTGGCCGCCTTCCACCTCCAAAGCTTACAAAACTGGCTCAGAGAAAACAGGCCACCTTTGCAAGTGAGGGCCCTGGGTCCACCCCACTTTCCTGGGTCTGAGCTGGCAACTGGACCCTGGCCAGTAAGTGCAAAAAGATGGGAGAGTTCAGGGAAGTGAATGAGCTTTTCTATTACTAGGTTTCCTCTTTGTCAGTTGTCACAGATATTAAACAAGGGCCTGCCGAGCATATTGGCTTACTCTGCCCAATACAAACCTACCACCCTTTAGTTAAATATCCTCCCCTTTTTATAATGACAGGGCTACATGAAGGAACAGGAAAAAGGCAGCAGAGAATAGGCAAAAGAAGGGAAGAAGACGAACGCTACATGTCTGAGCAAAACCCTCCAGTCAGAGGACTGGGCTGTGCTACAGCTCCTAGGGATAAGAGGTAGGCAGATCACAGTGCAAGCCAACACCCCAGGAGTAGCAGCTATATGACCTCGGGCCACCAAGACTCCCCAATTAGCAGCAGTCTGGGAGAAAATTCTTAAAGGAGTAACTAAATGAGGAGTGTAAATGCTCTCGGATGGTATTAAGGTTTATATCTAGAAGACCCCCAATGGCCCATGCATTCATAGGCGGGGCTTATGAGAGGTTGACTGGCTCATGGGGGCATAAACATCTTCAGTGAATTAGTCTACTGATGAGTTCACAGCTAAATGAGATCTGGGAGGTGAAGCCAGGTTGGAGGAGGTGGGTCACTGGGGGCATGGCCTGGAAAGGTCCATCTCCCTCCACCCTTGATCTTCTCTGCTTCCCGCCTGCTGTATCATGAGCAATTCTCCTCTGCCATGCTGCCCTGCCTGGGAACCCAGTGACTATAGACTGGAGTCTCTATAAATTGTCAGTCAACATAAAACTTTCCACCTTTAGGTTGTGGGTGTTGGGTATTGTGTTTCAGTGATAAGAAAGCAACCAAGATAGATTTTTAGTTACTTTACTCAATGCCTAGGGGAGAAACAGCCCTATTTGAAGTCAAGGTTCTAAGAAAATAAATTAATCTAATAAAGATAATGAACTTTGTTAAGACAGACAGAAATATGCTGCAGGACTGATACAAAAGAACCTTGGAGAAGACAGTTTCTGCCCCCTCAAAGTCCAGAAACCAGAGCAAACTAAGGAAGAGGACAAAGACCAAAGAGCTCTTCAGCCTCTACCATTAGGTCAGGGACTCAAACACAAATGGAAAACTAGCAGCACACGGAAGGCAGCTGACATCCAAAGTCAGACAAGGACCACAGCTGGCAGGAGACATATAAGGTGGCCCACTGAGTGTTTCTGATGAGAGACCAGAAGAGAATGAAGGAATTAGTTTTCCTGATTCTTGCACAAGGGTATACTTCAAGTGATTGTTTATGTTTGCTTATGGAAAGCTGCTGAGATTACAGAGTGAAACCTTTTAATAGCCAAATATTAAAATGAAAACCTGAGAAGGTGTTATAGTCCATTTGGGCCACTATAACAAAATATTTTTGAGGGATTCATTTATGAACAACACAGATTTATTGCACATCATTCTGAAGGCTGTGAAATGCAAGACAAAGGCACCAGCGGGTCTGGTGGCTGGTGAGAGCTGTCCTCTGCTTCACAGATGGCCCCGTCTAGGTGGTCTCCCCTGGTATAAGGGACAAACAAGCTCCCTACACTTCTTTCATTCATAAGGGTACTAATTCCTTTCAGCCTGATCTAATTACCTCCCCAAGGCACTGCCTCTTAATGCCATTACCCCCAGGGATTAGATTTCAACATATGGATACAGGAGTTGCTGACATACAAAGACTTTACGTACTCCTAGCACAGGGGTAAAGGTAAAGGTGGGGCAGCCCAGTTTTGAAATCAGCTCCCTGGGGCTGGGGATTTAGCTCAGTGGCAAAAGCGCCTGCCTTGAAAGCACAAGGTCGTGAGTTCGGTTCCCGGTACCGGAGAAAAACCAAAAAAAAAAAAAAGAAATCAGCTCCCTGATGGTAAACATTCAGTTCCCCTAATTACTCAACACAGAAATTTTTAATTGCTCAGAGAACTGCTCTTAATGTTCACTGGCATTAACCAGGTACATGCTCATGTTCCTGATGGCTTCCTAAACTGTCTTGGCATTCCTGCAGCTCACAGGACTGTCCCTGCCCTTTCTGCCTTGTCAACTGGAGAAATCTTACACAGACACCACTATCTATTCTGCCCGCTCTGGAGCGTTCATGTGTTTATTCTCACCATATTTCCAGCTCTGGTCCAAGCCTGTATCTTGCGCCTCTGCTTTTGGCAATTTCAATACCTATATATACAGAAAGAGAAAGGGGGGCAATCTCAGCTGCTTAGCATGTTCAACGGCCAATTAAACACCCTGCTGAAATACTAGGATAAGAAAAAAAGTGCTGTATGTCCTTGACCCACTGGCTCCTGTTCAGAGCCAAGCAGCAGTGTTTGACACACATCTTGCAGGAAATGAGGAACAGGGAGGCCTACGTGGCTGAACCTTAGAACCAAGAAGAAAGAGGCCACATTCTGGTAGTTTATGAGTGAGTAAATGCCACAAACAGTTGTAGGGAAGAGGCTCAACCTGACGCTTTATGGCCTATGGGGCAGGGTCGGGGTAGTGGGGTCAGCATCAGGAACCAGCAACAGATTGATGTAGCAGTAGGGGATAGAGGCCAGCTGGGTGGAGACAGCTCTGCCCAACTGTCACAGCATCTCTTCACTCCAGTAAGATTCACTCTGGCAAGATGAAAGCAGGTCAATATATATATATATATATATATTTAATTTTTTAAAATTTTAAAAAGGATTACAGTCCAAGTCACACAGCTAATACTATGCTACCAGTTAAAAACTATTCTGTTGCTCGGGGAAGCCCTTCTACAGTCCACAGCCAGCACAAGACAGCCCGGGGTGACACTCTTGCAGGCTTCCCAGGGAAGCCCCAGTTTGGGTATAGGTATGAACAGTCTGACCTTTCACCACCAACGGAGAGCCAACATGAATGCCGACTATATAGCGACATCCAACGATCACACTCTTCTCTGCCAACTTACCCCTTTCTCCACTTCCATCTTTGCGCCTGCTATCCCCATTGTTCACCCACCAGGAAGGTCCTCAGGGACCAGACTATCCAATCTCTGGTCTCTGTCCAACAGTCACAATATCTTTACCTCTGTGCCTAGGAACAGCAGCTTTGCTCCAGTCTCCTCACAGGGGACCCTAGAGATATCTGGAGACACGTATGTCCTCAGACCTCTTACTCCACGTAAAAGTAAGAGTCCTTAGACCGCCAACTCCACGTCACTTTTCTCTCAGCTTTCTACACCGCGTGTCCCCGGCCACTGTAAACAGTCCCTCACCCACACACCTGAACACGCGCAGGCTCTGGGCACTTACCACTTATCTATCTTCCCCCAGGGCTGCGAATTTCTCCAGAGCAGAGCTGTGTGCACATGAAGAAAAGCACCGCCCAGTTCCTCACCACCCCCAGACTTACTCTTTAAAATCCTTTGCAAATTTCCCTCGAAGTCCAGGGCCCACTGGTTGAGTGCGCAGGTGGCCACCGTCACTTTCCGGCCCATCCTGGCCGCAGTCGCCTGGGCAGCGGGTCAGGAGGCCGGTGATGGGTCCAGATGTCCTGCTAGTCAGACCACCAATCCGTTCGCCTGCTCTTCCGGGTCGCCCCTATGGCTCCGCCCCACCCTCGGGCCCAGCCAGTCACTGGCCAAAGAACAGGAAGACCGCGGTCTCAGGCTCCGCCCCTCACGGGGTAGCCCCGCCCATCAGACCAGTCTCTCCTCCAGCCCCCGAGAGCTGCAGAGTTTACGCGTCAGGCCCCGCCCACGTCTCGCCCAGCTCGGCCAGCACCAGGCCGCGCCTGCGCAGCCAGGAAGCCTCTGAGCTGCGGGTTACTGTTTGGCGCTCCTTCGCGCAGCACAAGGGGGCGGTCTGCTGAACTGCTCCTCGCCCGTTTTATTATTCACCCCTTCCCACAACCCGTTTACCAACCTAACAAACCCTCTTGCCTTAAAAAGTCCCTTGCAAGACAACCTGGGGTTGCATGTTTTCCCAGAGCAGCTCAGCTCGTCTTCCTTTAATAGAAGGGTTCTACAAATACCTATGGTAACACTCCCACCGCGCACCTGCCAGACAGCTGAAGAAAGCACATTATCAATACTTATCAATGCACCATGCAATGGTCTTTGCCCACATCCGCATCTCCCCTTGCCCACAGCACTCTGAATTCCGTATTTAACCCTCGGGAGCCTTTTCGCATTCGTCTTATACTACGTGTTCAGCAACCCTAAGCAAGTAAGAGATGCTTTAGTTTATGAAAACGATGTAAATTACACTTTAACGTTTGTCCCCCTCACCCCGGGATAATACTAGCTACGCTCTTTTCTGCAGTTCGCTACTCCATTCTAGGAATATAGCACAGTTCATCCACTCAATAACGGAAGGGCATGTAAATTTGCAGCGTTTTGCCAACTTGCGCGCTGACACTGCGGTTTTTATTCCTCTAGGGGTCTCCTGTAGCTGCGTTGCCAAATTCCCCACTGGTTTTGAGAAGTTCTAGGGTATGCAAACGTTCAACTTTGTAAATACTGCCACATCGCGTCTCCAAGGCACTTGTTCTAAGCCTCTACCAGCTGTTTGCTGCTGTTTCCACGTGGCGCAGTCAGCTCACCAAGGGCAAGAATGTTTTTTCTCCCTATGAGTAATTCACTGTCTTATCTTTATTGCCCGAACAGTCTGTTCTTCCTCCTGACTTGCAGTGCTGCTTCTAATTTTAACTCATTTTCACTTCTTTCGCCTCTGTTTTTCCACTCACATTAATGCTTGTTCATGACAGACAATTTGGAAACTCCAGAAAAGCACGAGAACATTATACATGCTCATTCATTCAGTCCTAACATGCTCCGTTGGAGCAGTTCTCATTGCCCAAGTCCAAAGTGTCCACTCCCTCTGCTCCTGCAGGTTTCTGCTCAAACATCTCCAGCCAACAATGGTTAATTTAGGCCCTGAGCAGAGAAGAATTTGTTGGTTGTTCCAGAAAATAAGAAAGTTTTTAACACCAAGGTTTGTTGCTAAAAGAGAAGCTCAAAACTGTAAATATGAAGGGGCTCCCATTGGCCAACTATGGGACAATAGAGCATGGGATCATAACTCAGCGACTAAAACTGTAATAATTTAATAATAACTATTGAAGGAATGTTAAAATTAGAAGATCGGTGTGATACAGGAAGGTGAGATCATTCGATCCAGAGATGGTAGAAACAAGAACACACATTCCAATGCAGGCCAAAGTTTAGTGGGAGTTGAGCAAGGGCCTTCAGCCAAATTGTTTCCAAAGCAAAGAAAGGAGCAAGGTCTTTGTTGATTTACTGGAGTGGGCTAAAATCCTGTAATTTCAATTAGCTAGGGGCATTGTTCCAAAAAAATGTTCTTTTTGTGATAGACTTGGACCAGCAAGTAGTTACAATCAATTTGTCCTAAAGGCTGTGGAATTTTTGTGTATCTGGCACCATCATCCCGTGGAAAGTATCCTGGCCTTACATTTGGTGGTTAATAGGTGGTCAGGTTCACTCATAAACTGCTAAGTTGCTCTTACAGCTGCATTATTATCTTGCATAAACATCCTGGCCTTCTGATAGGGCTGAAGGACATCTGTAGGGTCAAGAGTCAGTGTTATCAACAAAAGTAGCCTTCAGGTCCCCAGAAATAACCTAGGCAACTGTTACCACAACCCACACATCAAGGGTATTATCCAGAGCAAAACTAGTAGGGAGCTAACACTGTATTGCCCAGCTGTGTGACCTCCAAAACTGGTTATTGTTTACATTGATTAAGGGCAAGGTAGGCCAGAGGGGTAATTTAGATTTTTCCTTAGTAGCATTTTCTCATTTCCTGCAAACATTCTGTTTTTGCAGTTGTATCAGGGTCTCATGACAGGTCTGTTGAAACGTGCCATGTTACAAAGGAAAATAGTTTACCGCACTCAGAGGTTCATTTTGTTGTTCCGGCCTTGTGTCCAGCCATTGTCTCACCGCGATGGTCCTGAGCTGTGTCATTTGCACGAAGAAATAAGTGATGCAGGCGAAGTCCTCATTACATGTTGTGTCACCCGGTGAAAGATCATTTTGATATAGGGAAAAATAACTCTCCATCTATTAGATGCCAAATGTGCTGAGTTTGTGGTCTCACAACTTCAAGGAATGATGTTGTGAACCAAAGGAGAAAGTTAAAAGTTTTATTGAAAACAAAGGGAAGAAGAATAGCTCCTGGATTTCCTGGAGGGGTCCTGAATGGATAGTCACTCAGGCCATTTGTCAGGGATAATTTATACAGCAAAGTCACAAAGTGAGTACAACATGGGTCAAACTACAGTCAACCTATAGGATAGTAAGTACAGTATAGCTACTTAGCTCTGGTCACCCACCTGGGCAACTGATATCTATTTGGACCAAGTGGTGGTAATTTTAGTATAATTGCAAGTTGCTGTTTATCCCATATGGAGGTTTGCAAGCCTGGCCATTGCTTGTCCATCTTGTGCCTCCAGCCACAATCTTGATGTCTATATTTTTTGTGCTGACTTCCTTCAGGGCCCAGTCCCTCTCTGACTGTATATCAATTTCTATCTAACTTAGTTTCCTATAATAGTTTGGGAGCAGCATATTTACATTCTCAAAGTATCATTCCACTGGTTTACTGGTTAATCCTGAAAGGAAAAATAGAGACTTCTGGCAGAAACTACCTGAAACTCACAATTAAACCTATCCTCAACATAGCGACAAAGCGACATCTTGCAACATCTCATGGAATGCACTGAAGACATTAAGTAACATATTATCCTGCCCCAAAATTGCATAAACTGAATGCCTGATGTGCCTTCCTGATTGGATCCCAATTTTAAAAAAGAACTAAAAAAGGACATTATTGAGACAATGGGGGAAACTGCAGGTGGGCAATAAATACATAATAGTATTGAAATTATGCTCAATTTCCAGAGTGTAGTCATTTTATTTTGGTAATAGAGGAAAATGATCTTGCTCTTAGGAGATACATACTGAACTATTTAGGAGAAAGTATTATGGTATCTGCAGCTAACTAATGGTTGAGGGGGAATGGAAAAAAAATAGACACATAGAAGTAAAAAGAATAGACACAAGAAGTAAAAATAAAAAGGGACAAGTGCAATGTAACAAACTGTTAAACATGCCATGCTACAAAGGACAATAGTAGCACCATTTCCTATTGAGCTGTGCCTTGTACTGAGCTGTACCTTATACCTAGCTGCTGCATCTAGGTATAAAGGTGTTTGCTATATGTTCAGCTGCGCTTGTTTGTATCTCTTGTGGTGCTGTGCATGCGACCCAGGACTTTGTGCATACTAGGCAAATGCTCCACCATAGTGTTACAGCCCCATCTTTTCTCAACTTATTTGAATACTTCATGTATTCAAAATAAAAAGCTGCAGAAAAAAAAAATCTGTGAGGGATGCACCCACCAGATTCCTCTCCCAGTAGGGCCTTGCTTACCTGTCAGGTATGGGGTCCACAGACAGCTGCCCCTGTCCACCCCTCCAGGGGCCACCTCGCCTTCTATAGTCTGGCCCACATCTATCAGCGGTAGGAACATAAGGCACAACCATTCCAGACCAAAAGGACAACATTGAGGGCCTCTCTTACCACTGTCTTCTCCCCATGAGGTTGGCCTACATTCTGTGATTTGCCAGGAGATGTAAAAGGAATGCCTACCTCTGAATTGAGATAGTGCTGACAGACCAAAGAATAATCCAGACAAGTCCAGCTTGGCAAGTGAATGCATTTACTAGGAGTTACTTACAGAGCAGTGGACGGCTTACTACCATCAGTGATACTACCAAAGTCACTCCCTCTTTACCAAGCTCCTGTTTATAAATGACTCTTGGTCACATGGCAAAAAAAAAAAAAAAAAAAAAAAAAGAAAAGAAAAAGAAAAAGAAAAGCAGAACCCATGGGAAAAATTATGTGTTTGTGTATTCCGCTTCCATCTTTATCAGGATTGTACTGGTCTCCGCTTACACTGTCAAGGCGGTGATGAATGACCTTGTTGTGCTAGGGTCTGGCACGAAGCTTCAGCACCTGGCAGAGCCCACAGGACAGCTGACAGCCTACTATAAGATGGTGTTACTGTGGTTAGGGCTCCGGGGATCTTCTTCCTACAACCCAAGTGGTCTGGTTTGTGTTCTGGCTCAATTTACTCCTTTGCTCAATCCTACTGCCTCCCCGTCCCTGTCTCCGTCCCCGTCCCCACATTGTGATCCCTCAGAAGGACCCTAAACTGCACTTCCGGGTCCCCTCCTGGGAGACCCAGCCAGGGAAGGTCCCCAGGTAGCAAACCTTTTAGGACATCCCTACCTAAAACTGCTGCCTGCCAGACCTGGAGTCTCTTTAACCTGCTTTGTCTTTTGGGTATCATCTCTCACTGTCGTCCACCTCTATATTTACTTTATTATGTGTTCCTGGTGCATCCCCTTCCCCCCAGAACATGAGCCTCAAGAGGAGGGATTTCGTCTGTTTTGCTCTTTGCTGGACACACCAGATCCTCCATAAATGTTAAGAGCCCTTGGAGAGGCAGAAACTGAGGCTCTGCAAGTCTCACGGCCACCTAGCCAGTAAATGTACAAGTCTGGCGCACTCTCAGTGCGGCCCACTAGGCTTCCTTCCTCCTGTTACTAGCCCCCAGCTCTACCTCGCATCCTCCCGAGGTCGAGACCTGGGCGGGGCTAGGGGCGGGCTCGGGCTGTCAATCTCGGATCCGCAGCAGCCGAGTGGAGATCCCGGTGGGCCCGTGGTCAGCTCAGACTCCTCGTCCAATGGCCGGGTGCAGGGCCGCCGACCGCTCAGGACCCGTCTCTGATTGGTCGTCTATCGCAAACGTCATGTCAGGGGCGGGGCCTCGGACTCCCACGAGTCGGCGAGATTGGCGTGTGGCCCGCATCCCGCAGTTGTCCACCGGAGCGGGGTGGACGCACAGGTGAGCGGTTCGAGTGCGCAGGTGGGGGTCGTGTGCGCGAGGTAGGACGGGGATAGCTGCTCAGGTGAGAAGGGGGCTCCTGTGAGCAGATGTGAGGTGGACGTGAGCCCAGGTTGGGTGGGGCCCGCGGGCTGTGAGGGAGGATCGCTCCGCGGCAGGGGTTCAGGTCACAGACGAAGAGCTGCCGGTGCTTAGGGAGTGGGGCGCTCCTCGACCCGCCCGGTACCCTAGGTAGTGACCTTTTCCTTCTGAGCCCGCTCAGTGAATCCCTTCATACAATTTTGAACAATCCCATTCTCCCAAGAAATAGATGGATTGGATAGCTGGAGTGACAAACTGAGTAAGCTTGGGGGACAGAGAGGCCAGGTGATGGCTTGGACAGCTCCCGAGTTCTGGGAGGCTCCCAGACTGGTGACAAGGACAGGTCTGAGGAGGACAGTAAGTCATTCTGATATAGGGCATGTGATATAGGACCTCAAAATAATCCACATAATATAAGGGAAATATAACTCCCTACCTGCTAGATGTCTGATACACTAAGGTTGCGTTCTGTGAAATCGGAGGAATGAATTCCAGGAACAACGAAGGTTAAGAGTAGGAAGTATTTATTGAGAGAAAGAAAACTTCAGTCTAAGAGGGACAGAAGGGGGTCCCGAGTGGGTGGCCCCGGGAACCCCCTTCTCAAGGGCGTTTTATAGAGTAAAACCACCAAGTGAGGTGGGTATAAGGTGGGGTAAAACTATGGTCGCATGGGGAATATTGATCCAATGGAAAAATCATGAAGTGGATATAAGGTGGGACAAAATTATGGTCAAACAATGAGATTACCAGTATAACCACTTAGGCAATACTGATTAAATTGGAATCAAATGGGGAAGTAAGTCACGTGGCAATCTTACATGGAAAGAATAAGGACTTTCTGGGGAGAAATGGGCTAGGGAGGTTTGGTCCTCCACCTAAGGCGATTGATGCCTATTTAGAATATCAGTCACTGCTGATCCTCCCAAGGGAAGTATGTGGTGGTAGTCATTTCTCTTTATTTTGAAGCCTGATGGTCAAGGACTGCATCCCCAGCCCCAGTTGTCTTCTGCACTAACCTTTTCCAAGGGTCTACCCCTGTCTGACTGCCTATAGTATTTCTGTGTATCTTAGCTGTCTATTATAATTCTATTTGCAGGGACACCTTTTCTCCAAAAAGCCAGGATGGTTTGCAGAGCTCAATGTCAGGAGTAATCAAGTGCTACTCATTCTGGGAATCGAACCCTCCTAGGCCACTTTGGAGTAGATGCATATTTACATTTGTGGAATAATCTGCAAGATTACATGCTACAGTTAAATGACATCTGGGGTGAATTGGAGGAAAGAGAAAAGATTTTCCCCCACACATATGACTTAGACATTCCTGTTATAGTGAGCACATATTTTGTGACCTCTCAAAAGCAGAAGCCTTGCAGCTTCAGTTAACTGGATTTGACCCTGAAAACTAGGGACCAGGGTCTCTGGGCATTTCTTACCATATAGGTGTCCCTGCTTGTGTGATTTTCCTGTCATCTTTTAGTTGTTTTCATTATTTTGTGCATGTATACACAGACTCATGGAAGTTCTTGCATCTGCTTGTTTACGCAACCCTATGAATATATTTCCCAGGATAAACCCCTGCCTGTATGTGCTGAGTCTACCTGGCCTCTAAAATTATTCTCACAGAAGACGGGCGTCACACCCCTTTGCCCATTTCTAGTTGTATCAGTCTTTTTATCTTGAAAACTAATTTGAGGCATGTGTATATCTTTCCTGTCCCATTCCTGAGGAATTGGACTTTCTGCTATTCCTATAATGTTCCAACTAAGTAAATTATTTGGAAGGCCTTTAGAATAATACTCAGCATAACACTCAAAAAGCTAGCTCTCAGTATCCTCATTACTTCAGGTTTTATTGGAGATTTTCCTTCCAACTGTGTCATAGACGGTGAAGTTCCCCCAGACCCATCTTTGTCCCTGAAGGTCTATTAGCAGTGAACAAGTCACTCCACCTTCCTCGTCTATAACATGGGCATAACAATGCCAGTTCTTCAGGTGGGCATGAGAGTTCAGTGGGATAATGGGTTCTTGGCACTTGGTAGATGCTAAATAACTGTCTGTGACAAGCGGTATCATCCATGGTTGTCCCCAACAGAAGCTCATATTCTAATTCATTGCCCCATGCCCATCAAGAGTGGAGTCTGATTTCCTTGCTCTTGAATGATGATGAGCTTGTGGCCAGTAGGATCTGGTGGGAATAATGTCATGTCCCTCAGAGGTCACGTCAGAAAAGACACTTCTGCTTTGTGTGAGGAACCTCCCAATACCCTCCTTGTAAAGACCTCATTGCCTTGATAGGCCTCTACTCTGTGAGAACCCACGCCAGCCTGCCTAGGAGACCCCAGGGAGAGGGGCCCCAGCACATAGCTGACTGCACTGTGCGAGGCACCCCCACTGCCCTGGCCCAAACCATTGCTGTCTAGACCATCTCTCCCCAAGTTCCTGACCCACAGAAACTATGAGAGGTGATGGAAAAACTTGTTCGAAGCCACTTAGCTCCAGTGATTTGCTATGTGACTGCCAGCCAGAATGCTCTATGGCTCATCATTGTAGGCCTGTCAGTCTCACCTGGATGATCCCCCAGGCCTTGGCTGGTGCTGATGGTTGTGCAGGTGAGAACTGACTCTTAGGTGAGCCCTTGGAGGGCTAGTCTCATGTGACCCTGAGCACTTTGGCACCCTTGATCTTACTGATGTGGTTACTTTGCAGAGGAGGGAGCTGAAGCTTAGCCTGCACCAGGTAACAGTTCAAGGTCACACATCTTGGATTGTCCAAGTGGTGACACCCTGCAAATGAAAACTGATTGCACTGGGAACTCACAGCCTCTTCTGTATCCCCCATCATTAAACTATCATGATGCCAAAAAGCTGACGTTATCTGAGTCCTCCCCGGGCCCTCAGGTGCAGAGTCCCTTTCATTTATATATATATATATATTTTTGGTTTTACTCTGGTACCGGGAATCGAACTCACGACCTTGCGCTTGCCAGGCAGGCGCTGTGTCACTGAGCTAAATCCCCAGCCCCCTCATTTATATTTGTAGAACTCAAAAGACAGTCTGGGGCCTGAGAGCTGCCACAGTGTCCCACCCCTTCCCCAGCTCCCTCCTCCACTCCTTCCCCAAGTGTGCTATACAGAATTCTGTCCTAAATTAAGTCACAGGCCAAAGAATAGAGAGAAGAAAGAGATAAGAGAACCTCATTTTAGCTCCCAGCTTCAGGCTAAGTGAGCAAAGTAAAAGAAAACACCATTCTACCTTCTTTCTCTCATGCCGAAGACCCCCTCCCCCATCAAGCCCTCCCTACGTTCTGCAAAGGCAGAACACAGACATTCAAATGCATCCACTGCCCCAAGTGGAGTCCTCAGTGCTTGCCTGCCCCCAAGCCAGATGCAGGGGATCTGGCAAGATTGCCCAGCATCCCCCACTCCCAGAGGGGCCTCTCTGAGCCTGAACCCTTGTTTGAGTCCAGCAGTGGGTCTTCACAGAGGCCAGGTGAGTCCTGATGTGCCTTCCACCCTGATAGGTCAGATCCCTGAGGTCTTCAGCATCTTCATTTCCCCTGCAGCACTCTGCACAGCCTGTGGAGAAGGACCCAGAACCTTTTGGAACTTAAGATCCTGGAAGTTGTTAAGAACCAATTCAAGAAAGGAACTTCATTCTGCTGTGAAGCCGCTCGGTCAGGGGTTAGAGGTGAGAGTGTCACCCATAGCGCTATTGAGCATGGACACAGGTGGCGACTTTGTAGCTTAGAAAAGTAGGAACAAACTGGTGCACTGGATGTCAGCTGTCACCTGCTGTTTGAGATTCTTAGGAATAAAATAAAATGTCCCCAGAGCCCCTCCCGCTCCTGTCTTCCCAGCCACCTGTTGCAGGGCTGGTCCTTGTGTGTTAATTACAGAACTCAGTGCTTGTGACGGAAGAGGGAAGCTGAGGGTGTGAACTGTGAATAAGCTTATAACATTAACTTTTTTTTTCTAGTACTGGGAATTGAACACGGGGCCTTTGCACTGAGCTACTGTTTTTTTTTAACCTAGCTTTTTTTTTTTTTTAACTTTTTTTGAGAGAGTCTCACTAAATTGCCCAGGCTGGGCTTGAATTTGTGATCCATCTGCCTCAGACACCTAGAGTACAGGGATGATTACAGGTGTTTACTACCATGCCTGGCTTTGATTTTGTTTTAATCCCTTTAATCTCTTGACAGCAATCTCCAGTGGCTTTTTTTAGTTCTGATTATATACGTTTTATGGCCCTTTTCCCGTTTTATGGCTTCTTAGATAGTCAAAGGATTATGTTGGTACCAGGCACTGTCTTCTTGGGAAACCTATTCCTTGGGGTGTGAAGCATGCCAGTCCCTTGTTTGATTTCTTGTAAGACCTGTATGTACTTAGCATTCAGGTTTTACCCAGTTAATGGGGAAATTGGAGATCAGAGGTTACTGAGTTGGGATGTGTTTGGTTGGGGATGGTGAATAGGGCTGTACCCCAAGGTAAGGCGTAGATGTTTCTGCTCAGTAAGCAGCATTGTACAAGCCGCCAGGGAGACAGACTGCCAAAACCAAGCTGGAGCTGAGCACAGTGGTGCACGCCTGTAATCTGAGCACTCTGGGAGGCTGAGGCAGGAAGATCACGAGTTCATGCTCAGTGTGGGCAATTTAGTGACTGAGTGAGAACTTGTCTCAAAATAAAAAAAAAAAGTCTGGGGGTTTAGTTCAGTGTGAAGGCCCTGTGTTCAGTCTCCAGTACTGAAAAAGGACACAATCTGGCCCAACCAGTGTTGCTGGAGAGTGAATACTTCTCAGGAGCTCTTTTCTTTTGTTCATGCCAAGCTTTATGCTCTGTGGAAGCCACACAGATAGGCATGGCCCCTGCCCATCAAGATGTGATACATACATGTACCAGCTCCCCATGAGTAATGTAATCATTATGTACTACAAACATGTACTACTAAAACAGCAACAACAACCAAAAAAAAAAAAAAAGAAAAAGAAAAATAATTAACCTGGGAATAAAAGCCTAGGTTGAGAAAGTTTCCCTTAGAATTTCAAAGTGTTCTATTGTCATCTGAGATCTAGCTTGCTGTGGAGAAGTTCAAGGTTACCAGGTTGCATAATCCTGGCTTTTTCTGAAAGCTTTCCAAGATTACCTTTTTGTGTGTGGGAGTGGTACTGGAGATTGAACCCAGGGCCATCTGAAGTCCTTTTTTAAAATTTTGAGACGAATTCTCACTAAGTCACTAAATTGCCTGGGCTGGGCTCAAATTTGCAATCCTCCTGCTTCAGCCTCATAGACTGCTGCGATCACAGGTGTCTACCACCTTCCCTGGTTCAAGTTAATCTTTATAAAATTGCCTATATGTTAGAGCTTTATAGACTGAGTTTTGGAAGTGGGTGTATCACTGCAACCCCCAAATTATAACCATCTAGAGCAGCTGTGGTACCTAGAGAAGTTCCGTGTCCTTCCCCCTTCCTTTGGTAGGGTGGTTATCCAGCACCCTTCAAGACACTCGTCTAATCCTAGGGGTGGAGTGGTAAGTAGGGCACACGATGCCTGCTCCCAAGGAAGCTTGCCTGCTAGTGGAGGGAGACAGATGGTCCATATGAACACAAATAAAACAATTCTGTATGGTAAGGAGAGTTGCTCAGAAATTAAACAGGTCATTTGCCTTGACTGGAAACCTGGAGAGGAGCCACTTTTGATTGGCTGGTGAGGGGAGCTCTACTGCAGAAGCAGATACCTTACACGAGCCCTAAACAAGGCCACCTGCAAATGTGTTCTAAGCAGAGGAAGTACAGGTCCCAGGGCAAGGTGGTTGGCACTCACGGATGAGTAAAGACCTCATGTACCTAGGGCAGAGGGAAGAAAGCAGATCTGGGAAGACTGGGTAGGCCCAGATCACAGGCTCAGGAGAGGGTCTAGGGCAGGAAGCTCTCTTTTCCTCTTGGAATCTACTGTCAGGTCAAGGTCCTGAGCAGGCCAGCACCACAAGGCCAAAGTCCTGCAGAATGCAGCAAGAATGTGGAGTTGTTTCTCTGGGACGATCTGAGCAGTTTCTCTTTCCCTCAGGGCCTAATGGCTTCAAAATCCCAGCCCAGCGCTCCCCAAACTGGGAACCCAGGGAACATCGCCAACAGCAAGGCTGCATCTCAAGGACAGTGGGGCCGTGCCTGGTAAGGGTCTCCCCGTTTCTCCCAGCTAGAAGGTAAAGAGGGATCTCAGAGGTTTTTGGCCCTGGAGACATTATTGACCTATTTTTTAAAAATTCTTTTGTATTGTTAGTCATGCAAGAGAAGCAGTTGTCCACCTTATAAAGTAGAAAACTTAAAAAGGAATTTTAAAAAAAGAAAAAGAAACTGGAAACCATTTTAGGTTGAGTATGAAATGCTTAAGACCATAAGTGGTTCAGATTTCTGATTGTTTTCAGATGTTGCAAAATTTGCGTAGGCAAATTAGAGATCTCAGAGAAAGACCTAAATGTAAATGCAAAATTAATTTATGTTTTATGAACACCTCACACACATAGCCTGAAGGTAAAAAGATACCATATTCTTAGTGCTCCGATGTTCTGAATGGGACTTGTCACTTGAGGTCAGGTATGAAAATTTCCATTCATGGCATCAACTTGTGCTGAAAAAGTTTGGGATTTTGGAGCGTATGGGGATTAGGGGTACCTACCTGTATCACCAACGAGGGAGAGGAGAGTATGGACTTGAAGGTGTCCTCATTGCTGTCATGGTCCTTGGTTCACTGAGCAAGGAACTGTTGTTCTGTCTGTTCTGGCAGGCGGCAGAGCGGCAGGTTGGTGACCCCTCCTTTAGTAGGGAGCTTTCTACAAACAGCCAACAACCCAATCTTATAAGGTGCTGGGTGGTGTGAACAACAGCCCCAAACATGAGGGCTTCTCAGAGTCCCCTGTGAGCTCACAGGACAGATGGGCCCTGCTGTGACCCCCTCTTCCTCCTTGCAGGGAAGTGGACTGGTTTTCCCTGGCCAGCGTCATCTTCCTGCTGCTCTTTGCACCCCTCATTGTGTACTACTTCATCATGGCGTGTGACCAGTACGGCTGCTCCCTGACCGCCCCCGTGCTGAACACAGTCACTGGTCATGCCAGTCTCACAGACATCTGGGCCAAGACCCCACCTGTGACAATGAAAGCTGTCCAGATCTACACCTTGTGGGTCACCTTCCAGGTCAGTCCCCTGCCCTTGTGATCAGGGCACGGTGGTGGGGAGCATGCCCACCTATAGCATTGTCTTGCCTTTTTCCTCACTTGGATGGGTGTTCACACTCCTGGGACCCAGCAGGGTGTTATCTGGACTCAGACACGCTTAGTGCCGCATCAGCAAGAGCACAGGAAGCACCTGTCATCATCTCAGTGTCGGGTTGCCTCGCTGTATTTGGGAATGCGCCCACCCCTCCTGAGACATGCTGTGGACTAGGGACAAGTCTGTGGAGGGCACAGGTGGCCCAAGGAAGCCCCATGCACAGCTGGGACCAGATCCTGCACTAGCCTATGGGAAGGAGGTCCCAGCCCTCCCAGGGCTACTATTCAGCAAAGCCAAGATTAGTATTTCCCAGCATGCTGCTGTGCAGTCCTGGTCTAGGAGGCCAACAGGAAGGGAAAGCTTTCCCAGTGGACCAAGCCAGACACAGCAAAGTTGCTCTGTGTCTGAACCTAGTATCAGGCCTCCAGAAGGAAGGCTTGCACTAGGGTCCACTATTTCTCCCTAAGGCCAACCTCTTGGGCTACAGACACCTTCTCTTGAGGTCTCTTGTGCTTTGGGTAAGTGATAGGGGCAGCACTATTCCCAGAAGCTATAGTGGGAACAAGCCAGTTGTCCATCAGTAGAGGTCTGGTTAAACAGTGGGTGTTCTGTCTACCCATGGGTTGTTATTAGGCTGTGAAAAGGAACGAGGTTGTGATACACACTGCAGTGTGGATGAGCTTTGAAAGTGCTCTGCTGAGATAGAGAAGCCAGTCACAGAAGATTCGTCTCATGTGATTACATTTATGTGAAATATACAGAAGAGGCAAACCCATAGAGACAGGAAGATCAGTAGTTGTCAGGATCTCGGGGGAGGAAGGAATGGGGCAGCTGTCACTGGGAATGGGGTTCCCCTTTTGTAGTGATGAGAAAATTCTGGAACTAGGTAGTGGCACTAGTTGCTCAATCCTATGAGTATGTGAAATGCAGCTGAATTATATACCTCGGAAGAGATGTTTTTATAGCATCCAAACTATATCTTCAGGTTTTTCAAATAGTCCCCAGGAGGGGCCAGGGAAGGACCAGTGCATTCTCCTGAGGGGCAATGAGGCCGTGGCTGGGAGAAGGCTCTGTACAGTGAGTGGTAAAGCAGTTTCCTGCACGTGAGTCCCTCTGTTCCCCCTGCAGCCTGAGCTCACAGCAGCCATGAGCTCTTCTGGTGCTCATGTCTCTTGCTCCTGCTCTGCTGCAGATAAAAACCAAGCCAGGTCAAAACAAGCAGCTGTGCTCTGCAGACCACTAATCACTGGACCCAAATCCTATGTTTCAGGTGCTTCTGTACATGTTGCTTCCTGACTTCTGCCACAAATTTGTGCCACGCTATGTGGGAGGAGTTCAGGAGGGCGCCGTGACACCTGCAGGTAACCTGCCCATGTTTACCCACACCCTGGGCCTCCCTCTCAGGCTGGTGGGCATCTTGGCGTGCTGCTGGCCTGGGGCTTCAAGTCTGAGTTCTGAGCCCCCTATACCATGTGCACTCCGTGGACTGCTCACAAATCAGATAAGTTTAGTTCCACAGCACAAGGTCTTGAGGTGAAGTTTGGCAGTGAGGCTGTCCCAGGCTGGAAACCACTTTCTGGAGGGAACTTCTGACCCCCAGTTCCCTCCTCACAGCAGCCTCCTAACCCAATCCCAACCCTAACCCAATTGCAACCCTAACCTCACCCTAGTCCCAACCTTAACCCTAATCCAGCCCCAACCCTAACCTAACTCTAATGCTAATCCTAACCCAACCTCCACTCTAACCCATTCCTTCTTCATCCCTGAGAACCTGTGAGGAGCCTGGCCTCATGTACACATAGTGGTACAGGTAGGAATACCACCCCTAATTCTGCTCACAAAGAATAATAACAAAGGGAACTCTGCTTCTGCTGCTCACCCCAACTTCCATAACAAGCTGCAGACCTGTCACTCAGGCAGTGGTTGTTGAGGACAGTGAGAACCAGAGGCTCACAAACAGCAGGAGCAGACAGCCCTTCTCCCCACTGTAGAGGCTGCCACTGGCTGTAGAGCCTGGGAGGGCTGCAGCAGCTGGACAACTTTGGAATGGTGCCCAGTTGTCCTGGGCAGGTGTCTGCAGGGATAGGCCCACAGAACAAGTAGGGCCTGGTCAGGCACATACAGCCAGGCCAGGTGACCTGATCCAGGTCGGGAAAGTGCTTTGATTTTTAAACTTCTTCTTTGCAGGAGTTGTCAACAAGTATGAGGTCAATGGCCTGCAAGCCTGGCTCATCACACATCTCCTCTGGTTTGCTAACTCCCACTTCCTATTCTGGTTCTCGCCCACCATCATCTTTGACAACTGGATCCCGCTGCTGTGGTGTGCCAACGTCCTTGGCTATGCTGTGTCCACATTTGCCATGATAAAGGGCTACCTTTTCCCCACCAATGCCAAAGACTGGTATGTCTTTGTAACTGATCAAACCCAGAAAGAAAAGTGGGTAACTCTGCTCTGACCTGTGCCTTCTGCCCTGGGATGGGAGGGTGGGAAGTCCTTGAAGGAGGATGTAGATAGAACTTGCCTGAATCTGGGAAATGTCCTTGCTAAATGGCTGGTGGTTTCTCCTGCCTTGGGAGTAATGTAGCTGAAGCTGGCCAAACCTGTCTTTGGTGGCCAAGTCATTACCTATCTCTACATGTCTGTCTTGGGAATAGAGAAGCCAGAAAGACAAGCCTGGCTGGGGGCAAGCTGAACCCATTGCCTGTGTCTTTGGAGTGTCCATAGGGAAGAGTCTTGTTATCTCAGTAGCTTTAAGGTAATTGCTTCCCAGGAGAGCCCTGTTGGTTGGCACTCACTCGTATGGAAGCCTTGGGCTGGACAGTGGTCACCCAGCCATCCTGTCCCATCTCATCCCTCTCTCCCTCCCTTCTTCCCTCCATTCATCTATCTGTCCATCTGTCCATCAACAGGTTGTAGATAGTGGGAGGTAGTGGGGTTCACAGTTTAGTCTGGAGACCCAAATAAAAATAGGAGTGTTGCCTTTAGCTGTTGTGCCTGGGCTCTTGGGAAATGTCTTTGGATGACAGTACTATGTAGACTATGTGTTATCAAGTAACGAGGCTGACCTCCTTCTGTGGCTCCCACAGGGCATTTTTACTGCTTTGTATTCATCAGCTGTTACATACTATATATTTTGCCTCTTTCCATTTAGATTAACTGAAATAGCTAATGGTAAAATTGATGTTTTAATACATACAAAAATACCTAGGTGTGTATAGCAAGTTATACCTAGCAGGGGTCTCCATGTGGATCATCTCAGCTGATTCCCTGTCCCTTCCCTGTGGTGGCACATGGCGTCAGGTAACCAAGGTGATAACGTGTCCAGCAAGGGAGCAGTGTGGGTGCTGGGGCTGAGGCACCCAGCCCTGAGTACCATGCCTTGTTCATTCTCTACTGGTGACTTCATTGGCTCCTGGGCCAAGTGCTGTGCGTCTCCGCATCTGTGTGGGCTGCAGAGTGGAATCTTAGTCTGGTTGGACCAGTGTTACTGTTCGCCCATGCCTGCATCAAGGGCGCCTAGGAGGGTGAACAGAGACTTGGTGCCAGCCAGGTATAGTCCTCGAGCCTTCCATGGGACAGTAGTCGATTACTTTACACACTTTTGCCTGAGGGAGACTATAGGAGGGCTTTGGGGATGTGGGCGGGGACAGAAGCATCTCCTGCTGGGGGGATCTTTTAGCCTACAGCAAGTTTTCACTAGGTGACCTTGTTGACCTGTCAGCACACTAGGCCTGTGCTGAGCAGCTGCATTCCCAGTGGTAAGGTGGGCTACTTTCGGTGAGGTGTATTCCCTGACTAAATATATCTTATCTTTTTAAGCAAATTCACAGGCAACTTCTTTTACAACTACATGATGGGCATCGAGTTTAACCCTCGAATAGGGAAGTGGTTTGACTTTAAGCTGTTCTTCAATGGACGCCCTGGGATCGTGGCCTGGACCCTCATCAACCTGTCCTTCGCAGCGAAGCAGCAGGAGCTGTATGGCCAGGTGACCAACTCCATGGTCCTCGTCAACGTCTTACAGGTAAAGTCCATTTGCAACCAGAGCAGGGCGGTTCTGATGCCTACCCTGTCAGGAAAACCCAAAAGCCAACACATTTCTCATTCTCTGATCCCCTGCTGTTGAGAGTCGGCCCCTTCCTGGGCCTCACAGTGAGCATGCAGTGGAAGAATCCACCAGTGCATGCCCAGCAGGAAGTCCTAGCAGGACTGGTCTAGGGAGGTCTCCTTGGGGATTATACTCAGATGGGATATGGGCACAGGAGTTCCCAGGTAAGGAGGAGAAGTAGGAGGGGTGCTACAGGTAGAATGAGCAGTCTGCGCAGGGCCCTTATACCAGGAGAGACAGCAAGTCTGGGAAACCAAGGACGGGCCTGTGTCCTGAGCAGAGAGCAGCTTGGGAACTTAGGGTTGGGCCACCTGGGTCCTTGTGGAAGTTTCGTGTTCTTGTCAAAAGCAGTGAGACCCTGGGAGGGTGTCCTAAGCAGGACAGTAATGGAATGGGCCAGGGATGGTCACTGGCTGCAGAGTGGACACAGCTGGGTGGGCCCCAGGGGTGAAGAAGGCCAGTTAGGAGACTAAGGACATGGCCCGAGCTGGGTGACCTGAATGCTGGGCTGGTGATGGACCGCAGGGGCAGGAATCCATACCTTCCAGGAACTCTGGTATTTGGGTGGCCTGTGGCAGGTGCCACTCCTGGATCTGAGGACGTAGGCCAGGAAGGACACCCAGGCCTGGGCCTCACTGAGCTTGTGATCCAGTGGATGATGAAGAAGGGCCTTCTCTTCTTGAGCATCTACCATGTGGTCTTCTATAGTCTTCCTCCTCTGTGGCTCCCTCTGTGCCAGGGAGAGGGAAGAGCCAGGGCAGGGGGCTGACTACCACAGGAGCCTGGGGATCAGCTTTGCTGGACCAAGTGCCCAGCACACCTGAGGCCTGAACAGAAGAGCCTGTGTGTGGACGTTGTGGACCCATTCCAGGTCTGGTGCTAGGATGTTGTTGCCTCTCTGAAAAAGAGTGCCCCATGTGGAGTCTCACTCTTTTGTCCCAGGGGACATCCGCTAACTCTGTGAGCATCTTGCTGGTCCTGGCAGCGTGGGTCTGGCCTCCTTGGAAGGTCACGTGGTCCCAGCCAGTCATAGTATATGGCCTTTGCAATATCTGTCCCACATGGTCCTACTCTGAGAAGTGAGGAGTGATGAGGGGGACTCACTTTTGCCTTTGTCCACCTCTGTGAGTGGACATCAGTGTCCTTGGCCATGTGGAGATACAACAGTCACCTGGTCATGCAGCCATGTAACGTGTGTTGTGCTAAGGGGAAGTTGATGGGGCAAACTTCAGGACACTCAGCCAGGGGGTGTCCATGCTGTGTGGACTATGGCACTTGGAGCCACCTCCCTGGGCAATTTGTCTGTTCTGTGTTCCACGGCCCTAGGCTTTGGCTCCCAGGGACAATGCTAGGAGCCCTTCTGACTGTGTGTGGCCCTCCTTGTCCTCTGATGGATGCAGCAAGGTCTGCTGAGAGCACGGACACCCCACATCCCAGGCATGCCAGAGAAAGCAGGAACAGCTCAGCGTGCCCATCAGGAAAGTCGCTCTGTGGCTATGCAGGTGCCATCGCCTGCCCATGTAGTCTGGGTCATTCTCTGAGGCCCCAGCTGAGTGCCAGGGGACAGCAGAGGTAACTGGCAGCTCCTGTCTTGCAGGCTATCTATGTGCTGGATTTCTTCTGGAATGAAACCTGGTATCTGAAGACCATTGACATCTGCCATGACCACTTCGGCTGGTACCTGGGCTGGGGCGACTGTGTGTGGCTGCCCTATCTGTACACATTACAGGTGAGGGGGACTAGGGCAGCAGGGCACGTTCCTTTGGGATGTGGCGACTGGGCCTGTGGCTCCCAGTTCTCAAGACCCCCCAGGCTGACCTCCAGCAGACACTGTACCTCATGCTAAGCTTTGCTCCTTGCAGAAACTTTTGTCCTTGGGGGTCATCAAAGCTGCTCCCCTGTATTTAGGAAGAAGGGAAGGGTCTTTGTAGCACAGATGCTCCTCAACTTATGATAAGGTATGTCCCAAACACCCTTCATATGTTGAAAATATCAAAACACGAAAACCTACCAGAGATAGCTTGACTTTGCTCCCCTTAACCATACCTTAGCTCACAGCCGGGCAGAGTCTTCTAACACAAAGCCTGTTCTGAGTGTTGCCAGCCACCTGCGAGGTACTGGGCCTGCGCCAAGCGTAAATAGCTTTTAGAATGGCCTTGGGTGGCTTTTACTCCATCATAAGTCCACCATCGTCAGTCGGGGTGGACCATCTATATCCTGCTCGGGGTGTCAGAGGGGCCTGGCTTTGCCCCTATGTAGGACCATCAGCCAGGGGAGGTAGCCAAGAGCACGTTGCTGATCACCTCTGCAAAGTCAAGGCAGCAACACTTTCCCCAGCTGGGCTGGACAGAGCTGCGGGGCAACCAGTGTGGTCACTTGTCTGGGGTCTTCATTCCTGGTCCTGGGACCTGCCAGCATCACGCAGGGCTGCCTGGGGAGTCCCTGAGGCAGAGGGAAGCTGTGAGAGGCCTGGCCACCAAATCCTTGCCGTGTACATGGGAGCAGCCCTGCAGATTTGGAAGCTGCCTGAAAGGTCATTCGGCAGGGAAGACCAGTATGCGAGCCCACCAGCTGCGCAGGATGTGAACCCGCAGAGGAGGGTTATGGCTAGTCATCAGGATGGTGATGACATGGCTGGGGGTTGGCCACTGTGTGAGGGTTTAAGGGGCCAAGTGCAGCCCCATGCCCAGCATAACTGCAGAGCCTCAAGGCTCTGAGCTGCCCAGCCTGACTTATTCTCTGCCTAGCTGGCTGAAACCTCGCTGGTGTTCTGGTTCTGTGGGCTCCATTTCCAGGCTTATGAACCTGTGACAAGAGATCTTACATTCTTGCTGTAGCCTGGGCCTTGTTTCAGCCTGGGACACGGTGCCTGTATCTGTGGGCTCCGTACCAACCGTGGATTGAAAATATATATACATACATATTTTAAAGTTGCATCTGTACTTAACATGTAAAGACTTTTTTCTTATTTTCCTAAGCAGTACAGTGTAACAACTATTTGCTAGGGTTTACTTCATATTGGGTGTAATAAGTCATTTAGGGGTGGTTTAAAGAATACAAGAGTGTGTTTGTGGGTTCTGTGCAATACCATGCCACCTTCTATGAAGAGATTGAGTGCCCATGGATCTTGCCATCTGTGAGGGGTGTCCTGGAACCAGCCCCCATGCATAAGTACCAAGAGACAACATTAAATTATATCCACTAAATACGTACATTTTTCATACTGTATTTATATCTTGATTCCCCAGAGAAATAGTCAGTAGGAATGTGTATGTGTATGTGAGTGTGTTTTATTTATTTTTTAGCTCATGTGATGGTGGGGTCTGCCAGGTTCCAAATCTTTAGGGCAGCCAGAGGCCCAGGGAGGAGTTGATACTGCAGTTCAAGTCGGAAGGTTTTCTTCTGGCAGAATTTCTGCTTTGGAGATTAGTCTCTCTCTCTCTCTCTCTCTCTCTCTCTCTCTCTCTCTCTCTCTCTCTCTCTCTCTCTCTTTTTTGGTCTTTTTAGACAGGGTCTCGCTATGCAGTTCAGGCTGGCCTAGAACTCACTTTGTAGCCCAAGCTGGTCTTGAACTCACAGTCATCCTCCTGCCTCAGCTTCCTGAGTGCTGGGATTACTGGCGTGCACCACCACGCCCGGTTAGTCTTTTTCTCTGATTGGACAGAGGCCTACCCACATTATGGGGAGTTATCTGTTTTGTTTTAAATATTAATTTCATCCAGATAAACATGCCTTCACAACGACTAGGGTTTGACCAACTATCTGGATACAGCGGCCTACCCAAGTAGACAGCTGAAACTGATCATTGTCATGTTATATTTAAATTACATTTTACATACAATATTGTATATTTTACATTTATGCTATATATGGTACACAGACATTCCTCAACCTATGGTGGTTTAACTTAATTTTTTGACTTTATGATGATGTGAAAGTGGTATGCATTCTGTACAGATGTACTTGGAATGTTGAATTTTAATCCTATTGTAGGATGGTGATATAATATGCAGAGTGATCATCTTTCTCATTGCTGGGCTGAGGGGTAACAACAGCCGTGGTCTCTAGTGTGCTGTGCCACTAAGCTAGGATGGTCAGAAGATTAGGTATGTGTATGTGTCTAGGAACTGAACCCAGGGCCTTCTCACTGAGGTTACATCTCCAGCCCCTCTATTTGATTTTGAGACAAGGTGTTAGTTACTAAGTTGCCCAGACTGGGTTCAAACTTGGAATCCTCCTTCTCAGCCTCCTAGAGTATTGGAATTATAAGAATACAACACCATGTCCAGCTACTGGATGCATTTGTGACTTATCCTGTTTCCAGCTTACAGTGGGGTTGTTAGGACTTCCATCGTAAGTTGAGGAGCATATGCATGTGGATATGTATCCATATATATATGTGTGTGCGTGTGTGTATGTATAGGTAGGTAGGGAGAGGGCAGGTGGTAGGTGGATACATAGGTACATCTGCATATTTGTGCACTTGAGGCCCACAGCAACCCTCCAAGTAGATGCTTTTATTTACAGAGGAGGGGACTGAGGATGGACATGCTCTAGACTCCTGAGCCCGTGCTCCTACCCTCTGTGTGCTGTGGCGAATTTTCACCATGTCCTTCTTGCCTTCCAGGGCCTGTACCTGGTATACCACCCTGTGCAGCTCTCCACCCCACACGCCGTGGGCGTCCTGGTGCTAGGCCTGCTGGGTTACTACATCTTCCGCATGGCCAACCATCAGAAGGACCTGTTCCGTAGGACCGATGGGCGCTGCCTCATCTGGGGCCAGAAACCCAAGGCCATTGAGTGCTCATACGCATCGGCTGATGGCCAGAAGCATCACAGTAAGCTGCTGGTGTCAGGCTTCTGGGGTGTGGCCCGCCACCTCAACTACACGGGCGACCTGATGGGCAGCCTGGCCTACTGCCTGGCCTGTGGTGGGAGCCACCTCCTGCCCTACTTCTACATCATCTACATGACCATCCTGCTGACCCATCGCTGCCTCCGTGACGAGCACCGCTGTGCCAGCAAGTACGGCCGGGATTGGGCACACTACACTGCTGCTGTGCCCTACCGCCTGCTGCCTGGCATCTTCTAAGAGCCCATCACTTGGCAGCTCTAGGTTGGCAGGCTGTAAGAAAGCATGTGGAGCTGGTCAGTGGGAGCTGGCATCCCAGCTGTGCCCTCTAGAGCTTCAGTTTCCTCATCTGTGAAACAGAAAGAGCCTGGCCCTTGGCAGGTGTCTAGTTGACGTTAGCATTCTTTCCTGTCCCCTGTGCTCAGGGGAATTGTGACTTTACACCAGCAGAAAGGACTGGTTTCTTATTCAGTATACCAAGGGCAGGAAGGTGACCTGCTCACCTGGAAAAGCCCTCTCGTAATAGTTTTTTTGTATCAGGAGTCCAGGGTGTTGCACTGTCCAGACAAAGGAGTGTCTGAGGCTCACCCAGCCACCTTCTGGCTCTCTGTGGCTAGGACTTATTCTTGTTAAATAAAAGCAGAAGTAGGATCTATGAGGTATGCAGGTTGTCCACATCTGCCCTTTGGCATCTGCCCTGCCATGGTGGGCTGGGCTCTCGGCACAGCACTTGTTTGAAGGGCACACAGTACGTGTTAGCAGAGGGTGCCGAGGGACACTTGCAGGAGGAAGGGGCTTCTGTTTCCTTCTTGCTGCTGTTGCACAGCTGGCTGCCCGGGGTGGGCATGGGACATCTGAGGGCACTGTCCAATGTGCAAGCCCTGGACAACCTGGCCACAGCCCTTCTGACACACAGTGAGATCCCAGCTCCCCGTGAGCGTCGTTCAGTGCCTCAGCCGTGTGCCCTCCGGAAGGTATCACTAGCTATACAAGGCACAGATTCTAATGCAGATGGCTCGGAGGACGTCACCATCCAGGGACCTTGGCCAAACCTTCTCCAGCAAGGAGTCCTGGTCTTGGGCAAGTGTTTCTTCAAGAGTTTTCTTCCCAGGGACAGTGCCCTCGACTTCAGGATACTCTGTAAAATTCTTTGGATACAATTCCTTTGCATAGCTGAGAATTCTTTATATTAAATGTTCCCTGCTCAAGTAAATGATGGTATGGTGTCTGTGACCTGAATAGCCTGGCCAATCCCTCAGGGCTGTGGCATGGGATGCACAAGGGGACCCAGGTACTTGCTGGGACTTCAGGTGAGGCGTGCGAGCACAGACACACACACACACCAGCCCTTTGGTTCACTATTGCTGAGCTGCAGGCCTGGGGTCTGTGCCATCCATCACAGGGAGAAAACCCCACTTGGGCCTCTGGCCTCAGCAAGTAAATGGAGAAGCCAGAGAGACAGAGGTGGGCTTGGGGTTGTCTTACTCCTGGAAAACTCAGAGAGTAAAACATGCTTCAAGCAACTGCCCAGGCCCCAGGGAGGAGGGCAGGGCATTGGACTGCTCTGCAAAGTCAGGGCAGGTTGAGCACAGCCAGCTGCCTCTCTCCTTTAGGAAGCTGTGGGCCCCACCCAGGCTGACTTTGAGCCCTTCCCATTGTGCAGGAGTTTAGGGGAAGTTTTAGGGAGTGCAGGTTTAGGGGAATCTCAGGCATCTATTGGGTGCTTGCTGATGGTGCCTCCTTTCCCCCCAGATAGTGAGTAAAGTCCTTTTAAGGAGGCTGGGCCCTGTTCCCCACATTTGGACTTTAGCACTGCTGTTTAAAGGCTGTGTAACCTTGAGGAAGTGATCTGTACTCTTGTGCGTCAGCTTCTTCCTTTGAAAAATGAAGGGGTATGTTATCACCTTCTTTCCTCACTGTGAGAAGGGCTTCACTGACTCATTTAATGGTGGAGCCCTGGCTTCAGATCTTGGATGTGCTGGTCAGTTGGCCAAGGTGTTTTTTGTAGTTTTGATTTTGCTTTGGTTGTGTGTGTGTTGTCTGCTGCAGCCTCCCTGAGCAGGCTGTGGTCTCATCTCTGTGCAGTGTGTACTTGCACAAAATGTGCCGCAAATGCCTGGCCTGCTGCTCCCTCCCACCACCTCCAGGCCTGTCTTCCCCTCTCACCTGCAGGTACAGCTGACTCCTCCCTCTGGGCAGGGGCAAGGTGAGCTCAGATGCACAGGAGGTCAGACTATGCCAGCCTCTGCCACTGCTGGTTACGAAGTACACTCAGTTCTCGGGAGCCACAGCCCCAGTTCTGGGAAGGCTGCCTGGCCCTTCTTCCAAAGTGGGCCCTATGGCCAGGCCCGGCTGGGCTGTGCCTTATGGCGGTTGCTGCATTCTGACAGAGGATCCTTCCCTTTATGCCCACCAGAGGTGCAACAGCCCTAAGACAGGGCCAATGCAAGACTCTATGGGCACGCTCAGAGGTGCCGTTATACCACAGGGAGATGAAAACAGGACATCTCCCCACCCCCAGCCTTGCAAAACTCAGGCTGCAGGATCCACCCTGTGGACTCCAGCAGTAGGCTATAAAGTGGCCCCTCTGCCAGTTTCCTGAGCTGCCTTTGGTAGGGTACTGACTAATTACCAGTTGTGAGTCCCTCAACTCTCTCTGGTGGAACTGGCAGACCACATATACCACCCATGGCTGCATGGCCGATCATTCCAGGATGCTGAAGCTTAGGGTTTGGAGCAACCGCCTGAAATGACAAGCCAGCAAGTGGCCTTTTTTGCTTTTATATTGAGACAGGGTCTTGCTAAGTCACAAAGTTTCCCAGTCTGCCTCAAACTCATGGTCCTCCGTGCCTCAGCCTCCCACAGTGCTGGCATTACAAGCCTGTGCCACCACACCTGGCTCAGGAGGGTAAATATTTGAGATCCACTGCATAGCATGGTAACCGTAATTAATAATAGTGCATTATACATTTCAACATTGCTAAGTGTAGAATTTAAACATTCTCAAAGTAAAAAAAAGTGAGATGATAGTGTGTACATTGGCAAGAGTTAGCCATTCCACATATCTGAACATCACACTGTACCCCATAAATATTCAGGCAGCCCTTTACACCTTGGGGTTCCACATTCACAGATTCCACCACCTCTGGACTGAAAGTACTAAAAATGAACTGCATCAGAACTGAACATGTAAAAACTTTTATCTTTTTTTTTGTAATTAAGTTTATTGGTACATTTTAGGTACATATAATGATCACATTCTTTGTAAAGAATTTGTAGCTGTGCATGATACATCTTGATTCTTTTTGCTCTATCTCCTAGCTTCCCTTCAATCCCTCTTCTTGTCTTTATTTATAAAACCTTTGTTTCCATTTTTTCTTCTTTTCTAATTTTTTTCTTTTTCTTTTCCTTTCCTTCAGTCCTTGCACCGTCCCTGCTCCCTGATTCCCCTTCCAGTCTGAATATTTTTTTTCCTGTTTCAAAATATCTATTATACACTGGTCATGGTGGCACACACCTGTAGTCCCAGAACTTGGGAGGCTGAGGCAGGAGGATTGCTATGAGTTTGAGGCCAGCCTGGGCTACATAAGTGAGTTCAAGACCAGCCTGTACTACAGAGAGACCCTGCCTAAAAAAGCCAAAACCTGAAATAAAAACATTTTGGTCCTTATTTACACTTTGAGTTTCTCACACCAGAGAAACAATGCAGTATTTACACGTGTGTCTGTTATTTCACTTAAAGAGTATGGTCTTAAGGTGTATCCATTTAGCTAGAAATGTCTCAAACTTATCTTTTGTGGCTGAGTAGTACTCCACTGAATAAAAAAAACCCACATCTTCTTTATCCAATCATTGGTTGATGGGCAATTGAGGTGTTTCCAAGATTTAGCTACTGTAAACTGTGCCACTACAAATGTGGGTGTGCTTATGTCACTGCTATGGTGCTTACCCTTGGGGCATGAGACTGGGTCCAGTGGACCCATCCTTTACTTTTCTACTGTAAACTTGTATGTTAGTGTTATAGTCACTGGCTGTGTGTCTCTGTACACATTTCCCTGAGGGATACAGGAAGCAAGCTATGTGTTTTCCCACTTGGTGTGATAAATGGCAAGGAGTGTGCATGCATGCAAAAGTGGCAAAATGGGATTTGAAACCACCCTTATGCAGTTTCTGTGCATGTTTAAGCATCACAGAGGGTCCAGTAGACCCACACCACCCCAGGATTTGTTTTTTAAAAAGTTTTCTTTTGATTTTTCTGGTAGAAGTAGCCCAGTTCGGTACAATGGCACATGCAAAACCAGATTTGCAGGTTTTGGAGGAGGTCAAAAGTGAATCATCAGATTACTCATGCATGGATGGTGAAGATGATCCATTATGGTAAAACACATGCTTTCATAACAGAAGAGTGGTGTCATGGTGGATGATGATGATGATGATGATGATGATGATGATGATGACTTTGACATGAGCCAAAGTTCTTGTGACAGTGAAGTGGATACAGATATAGATGCAGAGAATACAGACCTCCTTGATTCAGATGACAAAGAAAACAGCAATGTGAGTACATATTTGACTAGTTGAAATGTTGCAAAGTGGCCGCACAACCAAATGGAATCATCCAATGTTAGAACTAGGTCTGAAAATATAGTGAAGGTCTTGGCAGGGGTAAAATGTATTGGATAGAATGACAGCACTGCCATTCAAGATTAGAAATTGTAACAGACAAAATGTTACAAGATGCAACGAAATACACAAAGGCTGAAGTGCAAGTAAAATGTTCTGTATGCACAAATAGCCATATTTAAAAATGTATTTATTATGACACCTTACTAGCTGAACTGAGAGCATTTATAGGTCTGCTGTACTTAGCACAGATTTCTTTTTTTTAAACATCATTTACAGACTTTTACTTAATACGTATTCCTTTGGAAATTTATATAACATTTTTACAAGCATTAACATTTCCCAACCACTGAGCAGGGAACACTCCAGTTCCTTACAGGCTATATAGTAAAGTGATGTGTGGTGTCATTTAGTCCCTAAAAGTAGAACTGACATGCCACAGTCTTTTGGTCAAGCTAAGACACTGCTGACATACTGTTGTTCCGTCCCTTCATCTAAAAATGCTTCTGTGGAGGATATGTCTTTATGCTGCTTCCTCTCTTTGCTCTGATCTTCTTACAGCTTCAGAATTATGTTTTGGATTTCTTTTTTCGTTCTCATTCATGGCAGTGGAAACCAGTTCATCAAATTCACAGGTAATTCAAAATTTAGTATTGGATTCTCAAAAAGCTCTCTATGTACTGCAATACCTATACACCACAATCACTGAAGCTGTTTTGCTGTGGTGCTTTTGGATTAGAGCCTTTCATAACATCTTTGGGAAAACTTCTTTTGCTTCCTGTTTTAATTTCCCATTCCACTTCTAAATACTCTCTTAGAATTTTTACATTTGACCAAGAGGGGCCTCTGAGTGAGTCCATAGATAGAATACAAGGTTGTTTACAGATAGTAGGCTTTAAATGCCACTGTCCTATTTCTGAATTGCAGTTGTCATCAGCAAGGAGCCATAATCACTGCTATCAGCCTGGTTATCTTAATCTTCTGAGAAGCTGATGAGTTCGTCTTCAAGCATTTTACTACCTTCAGCTGACTCATCACTATAGTTCATTCTGCTATTGCTTAAGCCATCTGGATAATGTACAGAATTGGAACATTCATCCTGTAGGCCATTCTCACTTTTAGTGCTATCTACAACTTTCTGGCATGAAGATTCTCCTTTATTGGACTCTTCATTGTCACTTGCAGTATCATTTAGTTTCTTCACAGTGCATACGTTTCTCAGACCACAAGGGTTGTTTTCTTCCTGTCCACTGCTTGAATCAGTTACAACTAAGCAATGGTCTTTAGCTAGCGTCTTCTTAATGATGGGGTTGGCAGAAGAACTCTGTGAACAACTGTCCATTTGATCGGCAGAAGAAGAACTATAACTGTCTTCTACAGTTGAATTTTTTTGTATGATGGCATTTTCATGGTAATGAAGGTTAGGTTCTTACTTTGGTTTTCCTAAACCAGGGAAACAAACAGCAGCCAAAAACCAGTGTGCAGCTTCATTGAGGGGTACAAAGATAAAATCCTTCTCAAAAATGTCTACATGCTGGGTCCATGTTTTTACTCTCCTGTGTTGTTTTTGTTGTTTTGACAGATTAGTTA